GCCGACGGGGACGCGAGCCACCGCAGCCGCGACCGATCGTTCCGCGGACGAGCGCGCGCGGTGGGGGTCGCCGTCCGTTGCAACCGGTGCGGCGTCGGTTCGCGCCCGCGCCAGTCGTAGTATTACGCGCGCGACAGTCCGTACACGTGTTTCGCCCGTCGTTGTCGTCGTCGTTTTCGATTTTTTCTCCCCGTCGCACGTTTTTTTCGTTCTTGTCGCGTGCGTTTCGTACCGCACAAACACGGTGACGTGACCACAACTGCATCGTCATGATCGGCGTGTTCAGCACGGTCGTGAAGAACTCGCGGCTGCTGACGATCCGGCTGGTGTCCATCGACAACCCCGCGTTCCGCATCCACTACCGGTTGACGTTCGCGCTGCTGCTGGCGTGCACCACGCTGGTGTGCAGCCGCCAATACATCGGCGAGCACATCCGGTGCATGTCCAGCGGCGTGTCGGAAAAAGTGGTGCAAACGTTCTGCTTCTTCACCACCACGTACACGCTGCCGGACGTGAACAGCACGCTGAAGCCGGGCGTGGGCCCGCCGCAATGGGACTCGAAGAAGGTGCACCACGCCTACTACCAGTGGGTGCCGTTCGTGCTGTTCGGCCAGGCGCTGCTGTTCTACCTGCCGCACCTGGTATGGCGCACGTACGAGGCGGGCACCATCAAGCTGCTGGTCGACGGGCTGCAGCGTCTGTACCTGAAGCCGGACGGCGACCAGGACAAGGTCGCGGGCTCGTTCAAAATCCCGTCCGAGGCGACCCGGTGGTCCAAGGTCCGGGACATCATGAACCACCTGGACACGGTGGCGCGGTTCCGGTTGAACCGCAAGTGGGCGCTGGTGCTGATCGGGTGCGAGGCGCTCAACCTGGTCAACGTGCTGCTGCAGATGCGACTGATGAACGAATTCCTGGGTGGCCAGTTCTACTCGTACGGGCTGACCGCGCTCACCGACAACGACGTCACGTTCGACCGCGTGTTTCCCAAGATGACCAAGTGCGACTTCCACAAGTACGGGCCGTCCGGCACGTTGCAGACCCACGACGCGCTGTGCGTGATGGCGCTGAACATCATCAACGAGAAGATCTACGTGGTGTTGTGGTACTGGTTCGTGCTGGTGCTGATCCCGGTCAGCGTGGCCGCGCTCCTGTGGCGCGCCGTCCAGTACGCGATGCACTCGCGCGAATCGTTCAACCGGCTGCTGCTGCGCGAGGCGTCGCCCGGCGCCCGCATTGACGCCGTCGACCTGGCCGTGATCGCGCGCCAGACCACGTTCTCCGACTGGCTGTTCATGTACTACCTGGCCGGCAACATGGACGGAGCCGTGTTTCGCGACCTGCTGCACAGCTACGCGACGGGACTGCGCAAGGAGCCGGGCTCGCAGTCCATCGACGACGACATGGTGCCCCTCGGCAAAATGCCTCTCTAAACCGGACGCCCGCCACGTCGGCCGTCAGCCCCCGCCCGCCGCTCATCAACCGAATCCGACAGCACCGCAACTCAACTGCCGCAGACCGTAGTGTATACATAATAATATTACTGTAGTACGTTCGATTTGATCACCCCCCCCCCCCTCCCGGGTACGATCGATTTTGTAATTATCTCTTTTACCCCCGGGGCCCAACTAACCACCCCCTCCTCACTCCGCAACACACAACCCCATTATATTCTCGTCCGATGCCTCATCTCCCTCGCCTCGTCCCCCGCGACGCGCTAGTCCTAAAAAGGTTTTTTTTTATTTATTCTTATTTATGTTTTTTTTTCTTTTTTTCTTATGTATATATTACATGTACGCGGATAGCTCACGTGACGACCCTACGTGGGGTTAGTACGATGATTAACGTGCGTTCAAACGCCCAGCGCCGTATGTATGCGGTGTTTTTGCAATCTTGTCAATTATATCAATATTATTTGTCAACGTAATTCCTTGCGAACACGACATGTTATCCCGAAATTTATAATCGAAATTTTCAACCGCAAATGTTGTGTATCAAAATGATATTTCATGGTCGTACTTAAACATAATTGATACGCGCGCAAAAGAAAAACTCGATATTCGGAACGAACGATTGGATCCGATGGCTTATATATGAGTACACAGTCACGCGGATTGGTACACCTCGAAGGTTGCGTTACACATTTTCATAGTTTATTACGTACACGCGTGTAAGTTATATACGGAAATAATCGGTACGATATTATATTATATTATTGACTTTTTTTTTTCTTTTTTTTGTTATATTATAAAACAGACTTTGTACCCTTGACGTATGTGTGTGTAAATAAATATAAGAACTCTGTAACTTTTACTATTATTATTACGATTCTTTTTTTTTTTTAATATATATTATTTAAATATATAAGCATACGCGTTTATTTAAATATTTATACAAATTATTACTGTGTTCGATCAGACGAGTGGATTTACTGTTACGGAGAAATACTATACACACACTATATCTCATTGTATGTGTACATTTTGTTCCAATTATGTATATTTAATATGAATATAAACGTCAGTATAACAGCGAATCATATGAATACGTGTCTTTATTTTATTGTTTTTTCATTCCTCTCGTCCGAACGATCGGATTGTTCTACGTATGCACGTTCTCGTGATAAGCCTTTCCGACGGTTTCGTAACAATAAATTCAACAATATCACAACTATCACGATTGTACGTACCGTCGAAACGATATTGCGGTGGCAACGTGATAATGACGTACACACAATTGTATTGATAATAACAATATAATTAGGCGTTCCCGGACGGAGACGTACGCGGTACCGGCCGGAGCAGACGCGATTAAAACGCTTGTGCTGTTTATCGCCGTATTACGGTTGAGAGAGTGATCCGCAAGAAAACACGTTCCTTACCAATGGAATTCGAACCGTGTCTTCAGTCCGTAGTGTCGCGAAACAGGGGGTGAACAATTACGTTCTCTCCCTGTTTTCACATGACAACGATACGTTGTTTCCTGGACGACAGTGTTGTTAGCAAAGTAGGGAGGTACAACCTCCCCCTTCACTGCCAAAATCTCAACTAGTGAATTAACGGATTAAAGTAATCCAAGTCCAAGTGCATCAAACCCCCTGCGCCATATGAACGATCTTCACTTAAGACTAGTGGTGGAACTAGGAATTTGTACGCCTGGGGAAAATGATAAAATCACGCCCTATCATAGACCAATAATCAAATACTCTTCTCGAGAATTTTTTCTTATAATTAATATACAACCATACTCGTTGAGTTTTAACCTAATATCAGTATTTAACAAAGTTAAAAATATCAAATTAGTTGTTAATAATTACAAAAATTACATCCTCTAAACATTTTGCGTCCGGGGATGAATCCCCGTCTTCCACCCCTTAGTTCTGCCACTGTCAAGGAAGCCCTTGATCGGAGATCCTGAAAAGAGGCGATATAAGTTATTTTGGATCGGCGGAAACAATCGACGTTGTGTACCCGCCGATGTTTGTCGATTCGTCGTCGAACGCAAGACGACGCGTTATATTTTTTATCTGAAGTGCTGCTTGTAAACATTGGTGTTGAAATCTTACGAATCAAGTGCGCACTGGTTCGGTTTAACCGTGCGCGAACGCAATTAAAAACCGCCACGATTATCTTCTGGAATTTGAACAGCCATAATTAATAATCGGGGAATTCACTTGAGAAAACAGCGTTCGATGGCGCACGTTAGGCGAACCGCTAAAATTAAACACATTGTTTTGACCGAAACTGTTCGCACCAAGTGTTTTATTCATTATATCGGCCGATATTTATCATTTCCATTATATTATTGGTGGACAGTTCGGAAAACCTAAACATGTTTGACCTTGCACATTTTATTGTTGAAATATACTAGGAAAATATTATTTCGAAGACGAGTAAGTATTAAACATCTAATAGTATTTAAATTAATATATTATATAGGTATATACACGTATATAAAAATATATTAAGTGTAGAAAAAATAGATACAATAAATGTAAATTTTAATTGTATTATTTAAATATTACACTGGTAAATATTACGAGGCAATTGTGAGCTATTGCATTTGTTACACGTTGGATCGGTTTGTTGGTGTTGGCCCAGGCGATTTGCAATCGAATAAATCGACTTTTGTACAATGATAGGCCATGGGTGACTTTGCGTTCGTTTCCATTCCTCATCACAAAACTATGTGGACTTCAATATCAGTCAAAAGCAAGGGTGTACCCAAGGGGTGGATTTCGGGTCCGGACCCTTCCCATTGAAATTTCCACAAACTCAACGATTTAATAGTAAATAGTATAATAATAGTACATAGTGTATTTTAATTTCCCATTATCTTCAATATACAAAGTATATAGGTTATATAGTATACCCATAACGTATAAACCATACTATAGTATATTAGAGTAGCGGATCCAGAGGTCACACAAGGGGGGGGGGCGAATTTTCAAAAATTAAATGACCATTTTTATATAACCTGTAGTTTATTAGAGGCTAAAATTATTTGCATTATTTCACCTATGAAACTAAATAAATATGAAATTAATAAGCTAAATAAACAATAAATAAATAAATAAAAGTAATTTATTTTCACTATTTATTAATTTACAAAATTATAAACCATATACTGTTATCACTTATTATGATTTTATCATACAATCAATACAATATTACATAATATCTATAAAATCATATTGATACATCTTTTTTTCTCCTTGGCAAATCTGTATTAATTGTAAGAATATAAACTAAAAACTAAAAAGCAACGAGTAACGGTAATGACGTGTTGTAGGTATTTGTCGTTTGTCGATAAATTAATACGTATTTAGCATAATCACATAGAAAACTGATAAAAATACCTACATAAAAATAAAATATTATAATTGGTATAATCAGCACAACCCATTTCAAATTGTGATAAGATGACGATGGCGATAAGTTAATAATAACACTAGCAGCGCGCGTTCGAGAAGTGCCGTTTCTTCACTTTTATGATCATTAATCAGGGCAGGAAGAATCATAACGGAGAATGGGAAAAAAGAAAATGGGAAATAGTTTTACGGAAACCCATCATAAGTCATAACTAATGTTTTATGTGTAATTATTAGTAGTAAAAAAAAAAAAATTAAAATATCCGTTTTCAGCCCAATTTTATAATATAAAAATAACGTAAAAATACGGCCCAGGGGGGGGGGCGATCGCCTCATCACCCCCTCCCTCCTCGTATCCGCAACTGGTATATTAACAGTAATTTGTTGGCATTGAATTCAACTATAATTATAATTAGTGCACAAATAAAATTATAATTTTGGACCCCTCCCCCATAAAAAATTCCTGGGTACGATCCTGGTCAAAAGTAATAAAATTCTATTTAAACGATAGGAGATTTTCTTCGTGTACCACCTATGAGTACTAGTCCCGTGTACTAGTCGTACCACAGGTTGAGAAGCACTGGCCTAGTGTGTAATGCGCTTTACACTACCTACGTATTTTACACGACATTATCACGCACTCGCGCGTTACAATGTTAAGTGCACACGAGTTCGTCGAGGTCTGTGAAGTGATCGTCCGGCGGTTCGAATCATACATATGTGCACAACGCGGCACAATCGTGCATGCGATTGCACGATTGCAAAAGATTTTTGCCATCGTTTTCGATAGATTAGACAGTGTAATATTATTATTATAATCAGGTTAGATTGTCAAGGGGGAGGACTACAAGGCCATTTCACCTCTGGCCCCGATCTTGGAAAATTTTAAGAGGGTCCCTTTAAAGTCCAGATCGATTAGAACTACTCGGTGTTACCCATTAGAGATTATTGATATAAATATATTATTTCTGAACTGTTTTTCCTTATGAAATATTAATAAATTGTATTAATTAAAATTTATATTCATGAGCCATTATACATTTTCAGTTATTCTAATCTCTAAATAGTGATAATTGAAATAATAATTGCCGGAGTGTGAAGAATGGCATCATTCTTCATGAATGAGTATTGATGTGATAACGTCTAAGTGCCAACATTCAATTCTTATTTATTATGGCTGTTTAAAAATTATTGAGGAATACATTTAATATATATTAAGTATGGAAACTGATAATATACATTATTTAGAAGTTATTAAAAATATAATTGTATATCCATACAATGCATTAAAATGACCTTGAGGTTAGTCGAAACCGACCTACATTAAAAACTAAAACCCCTTAACTCCCTTAAAACGTAGTCGAGGTTTAAAAAACTATATTTACCAACATTTTGTAAACTTGGTGTATATTTTTTTATTGTACTCGTATAGTACTGAGATGATTAAGGGCCCTCCGAATTAATTTGCCCCATGCCCTAAAAATCCTTATGACGAACGGCTCTGATTGTAATCATTCTCGGTAAACCGAATTATAGGAATTATTTATGTGTGTGGAAAAATAAAAACGACACATGGGATCGATTTATCGGGTTCGATATGTCACGAGAAATAGTTCCGCAACACTATCGATCACGTGATAAAACTATAACATACCTGTAGTTCACGACCGAATTACTGCGCTCGCCAAAAATACGTTATTCTACAGCGCTGCGTATAAGATAATGTAAAATATACAGCAGCGTTTCTTAAACTTTTTTATCCGTGGAACCCATTTTTGATGTCCATATTTATCGTGGAAACCCTACTTTTTTATTTAGCTTTTTTAAGATTATTTGTAAATAAATTATAATCATATAATAATATTGTGTTAAAGGTATTTAATTCAAAAAATATATCAAAAATAAAAATAATAATAATTGTATACATATATATTATAATACTTTAATAATAATTACTTTAATTAGACTAAATATAAATTTAGACTATTCCATATGGCTTATACAATGTTATTTAATATAAAAAGTTTTTTTTTCTATAATGCAAATAGTTTTTCACCATTACTAATCTTTAGTTGAAAATTTAAAGTTATTTTCTTAAAAATTTTTAAAATAATTACTTAAGCTTCGCGGAACCCCATGGTTCCGCGGAATACAGTTTAAGAAACGTTGTTTTATATGATTAGGCCACCTTGGGGTAAATCAACGGAATAACATCAGGCACACTGAATTGAATTTATGTTTAAAGTCTACTCTACAAAATAATGAATTCATTAAAACGGCTTGATGATCAAGTAAATGGTTCCAGAGCCAATCTGTTACAGAAATTCTTATTTTCGCTTTTATTTATAAAATATTTATATATAATTTCCTTACTGTTTTTGTGTA